AACGCGTAACCCGGGAAGGCGAATGAGAGGAATTTACTGGCAAATTACATTAGGCTCCTATTGGCTCGGACGGTTATACTTACCCGAACGGTAGCGATTACTGTCTACCACCGAGTGTTTTATATATATATATATATATATATACCACAAACCAGGCTAGCAAATTAAGGCACGTTTTCACATTATATTGTATGACAAAGGTCCTCGTTATTTCTCTGAAGATGAATGTCAATTTCCTCAAATCCTTATGTGCTTTAAGGATATTGAAGCTTGATTTATGAGAGCAGATCCTGTTTCTCCCGGTCCACTTATAGATTGTGTGCGTATTGGTTTGATAGTTGCGGTAGTTATACAAGATAACAGAATGGTCACATATTTTTATCGCGGAATGCTCTGAAGGTAAGCCATTACTCAATCATCTTCATCAAGGACATGTGTTTACAGATGTACCCACCTAAACCGCTTGGAGAGGCAACACATTTTTCAGGTTGATCTGACCTCCGAACATTCGGCCTTTGCTTATTAATTAAAATTCCGACTCGTAACTATTGTGAACAAATCACAAAACGATTTCGAGATATACTATTTCTTCCCAAATACATTGTTGTCTTTGATATGCCAGTCCTTTTTATCCAGGAAACCAGCAGTTTTTACACCGTCAGCTTATCTGAATACAAGGCCATGATTGCAACTGGTCCACCGTTGTTCGGTAGATAATGCGCATGAGCAAAAGATGCTCTGTATGTTCCGAATACCCGTTTTCCAATTCATCCATAACATGACTTTATGTGAGGGAAGTAAGCCTGTTGTGTCCATGAAAATCAGACGGCCTAACCACTCTGGGCCTCGTAGAAAAGCTTGTCTCACGGGACCAATTTCCTGTCTGACAAGTTTAAGTCGGGCGCAAAGGCACTTCAGTTTGTCTCCCTTTACTCGGCTCAGAAAAACAGGTCATGCTGTGTATCTGATTTATCCCGAGCTTTGTTAGAGATAATAGCCATCAAGAGTTTGATTGGTCTTTGGGTGGGCGTACTTACGAAATGCGGTTTGAGTGAATTTTGATCATCACATTACACATATGTGAAGGCTTCAGTTTTTCTCATTTTTTCATTTTTCGGGTTAAAAGAAAATGAAGGCTTCTTCAGAGCTTATGATCGCAGTAGCATTTATATCCAAATGTGGATTATTCAAACCCAACGAAGCCGACACATTGTTTCTTCTTTCACTGAACAGGAATTCTAAACATATTACCTTTTAGATTTTCATCGGAATCAGTAGGCTGCGTTTGATTGACACTCATGAATGTGGTCTAGTACCGTGATTTACCTAAAAGGTCCTAACCAAAGATGGAAGTGTGCGGTTCTCAAAGAACTCTCATGTAGTCCTTTTTGTACCGGTGAACCAGAAACGGGTTGCTTCTAAGTTGAACGAAAGATGTACGATAACTTGGCTGTCATTCCCTAATGGCTTCACCCTGTTTGAGTTTCCTCATTTTTGTACATTCTTCAACGTTTCAATCAACTTCTTATCCTGTTTAAACATCAGACTGCAGATGCATTGAATTCGTGACTCCTGTGCATATTTAGTGTAAGCAGGATTCCAAAACGCTCTTGGAATTTGGCCATTCTTTAAAAGATTCTCCAGCCGAGGTGCATGATGCCTCAGGATTCAAAAAGACCGGCAATTAGTCTACCGAACAACTGTTTCCTAGGAGTATCATAAGGAGATTACTAAGGAATCTTTGCTGCTTAAGAAATTCCAGGCAGAAAGAAGGGCTTGTACGATAGGGCCCAGACAGAGTTAAGAAGAAATAAGTGCTAAACAACCTCTTTGGTACTCATGAATCTCGGGTACTAGCATAACTAGGCCCCGATGCAGTATCTTTGTCGTGGAAACGTGGCTTGAACAGAGGTGCGTTCTTTGCAAAAAATTCACTCATTTGCACATAAATTAGTTTTTTCAACGAAAGACCTTAATTCCTAGCTGAACCCTCCTTATATGCCATTCTCCAGCTGGGTGCGGTGCACAAAAGCCGGCTTAGGTTTCATAAGGTATGATATTCAGGAAATCGTCGTGAGAAAATATCACCAGCGAAGGATTCAGCTGGGATTTGATTAATCTTCCCGTTGACAAACCAAACTGATGTGTGAATAAGCGCAATGTGCAAACTTCCTACAATTTGGATTTACAAGAACTTGAAGTTAACGGAATTTCTGGAACTTCACCGACCTAGAGAGCCTCAGCAAGGACGAAACTTGACTTCAGCTGTTTTTCTGCTAACATATTAGCATTGTTCTGTCTTCGGAAGACTACTAATTATTGATAAAAACTGAAGCATGTCGTTTGCTCAATAAGCCTCAAACAGGCGAAGCCCTGTACTTGACCCTACGCCAGCTTTTACCAGCTCTATAAGTAGTATGATATCAGTAAAAGGGGTTCCTTGTGGGGGAAGTTTCTCTGGAGCAAACGCTTTCTTCTTTCATATAGAAAATGACTGTGGCATTGAAGCCTTTTGGGGAACGCCCGCTTGCGCGGACCTTCTCAAGAAGTACCCAGAAAATGAGTTGAAACCGAACAAAACATGTGGTGGTTTCAGTGTGTTCGAACTTTCACTTTTTTCGTGGAAGAGGTCGCATTGCAGAAGCTAACGCTTTTGTTTTGTCTCTCGTGTTTTTTTCCCAGAACAGTTCGATTGTGATACGTAGGCATATGAAGAACGCCATAAAATTCTCACAGAATCAATGCTTTAACCTAAAAACTACCTCGGTCACTGTGGGCTGCCCAATTTCTGGCATGATTTTGCACAGGTCATTTGTAGTACACAACGTACTGAGGCAATGATATGCAATCGTGAATAATTGTCAGCATAGGTCCAGGACCAACCATCTATGGCGCATAGGAAGAAGACAACAACTTGACCAGCCAAAATTCCGCTGAAGTGGTCGAGATCTTTTGCGCCTCATCCTTAGTATTCAGATAAGCTAGTAATTTGTCCTAATTTTTTACTCCACAAACCACCGGATTCTGGGTAATGGGATTAAATAAGGTATGAGCGACTTTCGTGTCTTGAAGATGCTCAACCCCTCTACTACCAACACCGCCCAGATCCTAGTGAATTTCATCGAAAAATTATCATGTATATGGCTATCATATCATATGGCTAATCATATTATTGTACGCTGCTAACGTCGTCGATCAGAAGCCTCCGTTTGAGTACACATCCAACGACGAATTAGAAAAAAGCTCCTCCTTACTTCTCCCGAATATTCATCTTGAACACAGAATCAAAACAAAAGAAGCGTTTATACACATTAAACAACCATACATGGGCTTGTTGTATTGGACACTTGAATGATCACCTTGTCTCCAGATATTTTGCTGTCTCTTCAACAGCTGAATCACCGATCCAAAACGGTTGACTTCTAGCTTATACTCCTCGCTGCATGCTACCGCCTATCGTCGGGATAATTCAAAACAGACGAACGAAGTTATATCGCATTCGATCGACCTAACAACAGAATAGTCATGATTAACTCACAATCATCTTACACTGTTTCTAAAAACTCCCATTTATGGTGTATATTGATGGCTGGTGTTGTCATTCCGGCCGCTGAGTAGGATCCATCTTCACGTCTCGTAAAGCAGGTTGGTATGCATGCAGATAAAAATTTGACTTGTTTGTCCATTATTTAGAAAGCTACCTCAAACATCACATTTAAAATTTAGGTTCTTTTGTGAGCATTTGACTGGTGTCCATGAAGTCAATGAAGCTCATAAGGAAGAGAAACGATTCTCGGAGCAACTGCTGATCCCCAGGCGAGGAAGCTGTCACAGTGTGTATAATTTCTACAAAAAGTATGCTGGATAAAGAAGAAAGGCAAGTTTGTTTGCTTCACCGAATTGTTAACAAAACAGATTCGTCATAATGAAAGAACGTGAGCTCGTGATAGAGATGCGGAAAATAGAAAATTGGCTGAACGAAGCTAATTCTGAGACGATCACTGCTGTCTCCGATTTGTGGGAGGTCTTCAGCCTCTTTTACCTCAAGTGATCTCCACGAGTTCAGGATGCTGCATCCAGAAAAACTGTTCTTCCTGCTTCTCGCTCATTCTTTGTCAATTTACATCAAGAAAAAGTGCGAATATGCAGTCTGAGGCATCTTTGCTCATAAGGAAGAGAAACGATTCTCGGAGCAACTGCTGATCCCCAGGCGAGGAAGCTGTCACAGTGTGTATAATTTCTACAAAAAGTATGCTGGATAAAGAAGAAAGGGGACCAAGTTTGCTTCACCGAATTGTTAACAAAACAGATTCGTCATAATGAAAGAACGTGAGCTCGTGATAGAGATGCGGAAAATAGAAAATTGGCTGAACGAAGCTAATTCTGAGACGATCACTGCTGTCTCCGATTTGTGGGAGGTCTTCAGCCTCTTTTACCTCAAGTGATCTCCACGAGTTCAGGATGCTGCATCCAGAAATATATAAAAAAGCGGGCAACACGCAGCTCGAAGTACAATGGGTCAGTGCCTTGATGAAAATCTACCCCCATATGAGTGGAAAACTGCACTGATCACACTTCTCGATGACAATGCCTTTCAACACTATTCCTCCCGATAAGACAAATTCCAACACAAGTTAATTCATTTACATGACAAAATTTTAATATACCAACATTTTTCACAAGGCATCTCCCAAGAGCATCTCCAACAGTGCAAAAGTAAATATTCCGCGTACAGCGTCCACCATTTACATTAAATACTGGGTAGACATGATACATAATTTTTATCTTTGGAGTTTGAATATGCAATATTTTGCTATCCACTTACATTCATAGATGCAGTCATCGTTGCCATGTCAGAAGCATTCTCTTTGACGATTGCAAAATAGCATGTAACAGTAGCAAGCAGTTTTCACTATGGTGCTAGGGAGAATGGCTGACTGAATGTACAAATTACTTGACTTGTCGCTACATTGCTGCAATGCTTGTGTTCAGAGGAGCGTGTAGCCAGGAGGAGGCCGTTGGGCCACCTGTATGGAATGAAGGTAACCTCTGCATCATTTGGCGGAAAAGGTATTCTTCATGTGGTGCTCACAATGGGTGCAGCACATTCGAGCTGAGTATGGTCTTATTTTGCTTGGATCGAAGAAATTGAGTTCTCTGCCAGTGCTTACAGTGAATGTATTTGGATCAGTTATGATAACACAGGTTATCCGGATGCTTGAACGATATGTGGCTTTCATAGTTTGATTTGCTTAGTGAGTAGTACTTTCGATGCTCAGCTGCGGTCATCCACACGTTGGTCATTCAAACAGTCACCAACGTCCAATAAGTCACTAATTTACGTATTGATTGTGGCGATCGGGAGATCTAATTAAGATTTGGACGAAACAGTTTCTTGTGATTTTCTACAATCTGATGTGCAGCCTGATGGCTGCTTTACGGTTCATTTTGGTCGATGATTATTTTTTAAGTATTCAACTTTTAGAAGTAGCACTATACACAAAACGTCTCACCTGATAGTGTAAAGGTTGAGAAAACATTCTGTGAAGCTGTCCAGTAGCAAGTTATGCACAGCCGCCATGTATCGATAGAGATAATATTCAGTAGTTTGGTTGACCAGTAAGAATTAATTTCAATAGCTTCATCTGAGTAGGGTTCTTCGAAATGATTTCCACATCTATTGACCTCCATCTGTGCACAAAAGAAGCAATCCCGGAGGACACGTTAAGGAAGAATTACTGTACAAACGAATCACTAGAAGGTCGTCATCTATTAAGAGCTTGAGCCTATAGCAAAAAGAGATCGGATGAAAGACTTTGCGGCAAAATGCTTTATTTGATCGGCCCTAAATTGGTCCCATGTGTATTACGCCTGCAATGAGGAGATGAATAAAAGTCTAGGATTCAAGTGTCCCCTCGAAAAACGTTGGTTGTTTTTGCGTCCAGTTTGGCGGAATCAGTATGAGTTTGATTGTATATTTCGGTCTCTGCTGCATTACTAATTACGGGAAATATCCAGTAGCGTGGATGTCCGGCTTACTGAAAACATGGAACAATTCTATTGCACGTTCGGCTGAAGAATACCAAAAAAGCACTATCGTGAGGTTACTTTTTGAGCAGTTTAGCATGTAAACATGTCTATTCACTTAGAACAAACTGGTTTGCAAGTGAGGAAACAAGTTCTTTGGAATTAGGGATCATGTCTTATTAACACTGGAAAGCTGAATTCGTTAGGACGGTGAGAATCTATCTTCATGAAGTTGAGAAATCCACGGACATGGCTTAAGCCAGCAGCAAAATCTTGAAGTTCGCCGTTCTGCTACTTATCAGCTGAGCTTCGAATCTGGTGTTAATGCGATGTCCCGTTGTGTCATTATGAGATTTCAAAAGGGTCGGCTGCAATTGAACCTGAATGGCTGACACGGGGACCACTTGGAATCGGTGGACGATGTGGTGACTAAACGGAGCTTACACGGCTCAGCTTGCGAAATACAAAACCAAATCACTTCGCTTTTGAGCATACTTCATGAATGGCTTAGGATGCGTGTTCCGGAAGAATCTAAGATGGATGAAAACTAGGGGGTGCGCACAAGTTCCGAGAAGAATGAAACCAGTCACAGACAGTCCAATAGTTTTCTATAATCTTACGAGCGATGTACTGCTCCAAAATAATACTTTCATGCTTATCGTAACTATTCAGGTGGGTGCAGATGGCTTGGAAACTTTAGTGTTCAATAACAGTTTTAGGTTGGTATCCTGTACGCGAGCTTGCACAGATGGTAATTTTCAACTATCCAGACATTTGAATTAGAAAACAAAGTACTCCACTAATGGTAACCGGTTTGAATATTTAACATGAGTATCGGATTATCTAAAAATGGCCAATCTGTGGACTTGGAGTTAAGCGAATATATTTGCAAAAATACGAATGAATCAATCTACAAACTAAGCGAATTTTAGAAGGACGAAAATGTTCTTGCGACTAAGGATTTTAGGATCCAACCAAAGGTTCTGTAGAACATCTTGTCAAATCCAAGCCCACGGCCCAGCAATTATCATTGCGATAAAACTTATGCGAAAAATCTTATGGGAAAATCTGACTGAACTTCAGTTTTGTGTGTTATTAAAGCAGGAAAATCGGAATACGTGTTTCCGTATAATTTTTCTGTAGAGAAACGGCGATTCAAATGTTTCCAGTGGTTATCGTAAACGAGAGATTCAGCTGGGTTTCAAGTGAGTCTCCGGTGAAAACCAAATTGGTATGCAAATGAGTTTATTTGCAAATGGTCCCCGTAAAGACAGATATCGTAACGCCTTGATTGCCGTAATTCAAGATTTCAGTATGCTAAAAAAGAATGACCTTTATATAGCTGTAGGATAATGTTTCACTCAAAATTTAATTGAACGGATCTAACCGATAGCTAGACGCATTACAACGCAACACGTTGAGAACTGTTGAGTACGGAAACCAGCACTGTATTATTATTCGACAGGGATGACACAATTGGACGTTGTTAAAATCATGGTTTCCTTCTGTGAAACCAAGAAAATCGGCCGCTTTTGCAAGATGTTGCCGCTGCTTGTGTGAGCTGTGTAGATTGCTTGATCAGTTTCTGATTATGGCTTTGGGTTCTACGTAAAGCTGTGATCAGCAGTCGGTTGAATGCATTACTACGAGATAGCCTTGCAGCACAAAAACCTACACAACTACGGTTTTTCGGGTTAACATCGCTGAAGAGTGATGAGTAAGTGTTTTCGGCGAGCATTGCTGGATTTAAGGGCCGAATAGACTAGCTTGTTAAAAAGATAATCTCAGAGCTCTATGGGCGTTTAAATGTTGTGTTAACGTTAAGGAATATCCACGAGTAAGCTGCTATCAAGTTAGCTCCGAATCAGTCCAAAAGAGACATTCTTGTTCACATCTGTGGTGAATAAAATGACCCGTTTTTGCGAGTCCTACGTCGTGAAAGCAAAATAGAAAAGAACAAACGGAATAGCCTTACCAACTTATCAAATTATTCCTATTATAAGGGCTTCACTTTTTTTCCACCTGTTCCCAAAGGCAGTGTACGTAAAGACCCAGCTATCTGAGGGAAACCGGCAAATTTATTCCATTGGACGTATTGTTATGCCCGGACCTCTGTCACGAAGAAGTCCCATACATAATGAGGTTAAATGCAGACTGTTGTCGAATCTCTTAACTACCACCTCCCACCGCTTGCCACTGAAGACATTTCATCCGCATAAACACCGACATTTTTTGGGTGACATAAGCACCCAGTGAGTACCTCAGAAACCTTCTTGCTATATGATTCTCACTAGTTTGGCCGAATATGTCACGTACTTATTTTTCCATCACTTAAAAACTTTATTCTTCAGAGAAAAGATAACTGGATTTTCGAGTGATGTCCGCAAGTAATGCTAAGTAATACGAGTCCATTTCAGAGTCGCCCACAACTTTAACACAAATAGCGTCATTCAGTGGATTGGAAAACACGGTGAGTTTCCACTGGCGGAATGTCCGGTGGAACAGCCACTTCATTACGGCGTTTATAGTCAAAAAAGACAAAATGCAATCTGTATTTTAGGTGGTCTGACCGAGTGTACTGAAGAGCACACCTCAATATTTGGCAACATTCCCGATTTCAATCTGAAATATCGTCAGCGTGCGATACTGGAATGTATCGTCGAAAACCATTGTTCACTCAGCTTAATTCCTATGTCAAGTACACACAACTTACGGTTTAACGGGAGACCCAGAATTCCTTTGGAATATTTTCGTGGATTCAAGGGTATCATACAAAGTGCAGTTCACTGTATCGCCATTTCCGCAATTTGCAAATAAAAACACTTCAGCCTGCTTCCTTAGAAACCCGAGCTGTATCTTCTGACAGCCGTAACAAGTAATATTCCCGACTGCGGTTTTCAAATCTCCTATAACCTAAGGCTTAATGTGCGTTCAAATGCAACAACATTTTTCAGGCGCACTGTGTTATGCCGAGCTTGTTCAGCACGAACGAAAACGAAAGTCTCATGCTATTAAAAAGCGTCAGCTGATCGTCGATTCCGTTATAATCAGAGGACTTTTGTTTTCCCTTAGTTTTCAAACCTCACCTTTTAAAGGTGCATCTACGGCTCATATATTAGACAATGCTTCTTCGTTTAGTTCGGCTATATTTCTCGTCAAAATGAGCACGGCTTTTTAATCAACAATAATTGGTTTATGGCGTTTTCTTCTTGAATAATTCGGTTTCAGATTGGTCACCTGCATGAAAGTCCTCCGATGTTTATGAATTATTGCGAATCTTGAAAATTTCAAACAGTTCCATGGAATTCTCTAGGCAAAAGCGCTCAAAGCGACTAGAGGTTTCAGATAGTCTAGTTTGTATGCATAGCAAAAATAAGAAAGTTATTATGCACGTCCATGGAGATGAGAAGTTGAATTCAGCAGTACATCTAGCGCGGACGGTCCAGGTAACCATCGACATTTCATTTTGCAGCAAGCTGGGAATGTCACTCAGCCACAGCGCACTTGTCCTACCGTATGCCACCTACGCCGACGTTATCAGCTGTGCTCAAAACTGCGTCCGCTACTTTTATGCTAGCCTTCAGCCTTTAATTTGCCCACGTTGTGCATCCAGTGAGGATGAATTTCAGAAATCCAGCCAAGATTTAGTTTGGTCACCCTGCAGCTTATCTAGAAAATTTTCAAAAAGTGCATTGGTGTTCTTTATGGGTGGTACAAGTTTAATGTGCATAAGCTTAATATATTTTCACTTTGCGGACATCTATACAATGTACTGTCTTGTGTATTCACTGTCTAGTTCTTTTTACCATATTGTCATCAGACTATGCATGGTGACCATGACTACGTTTCAGATGGCGCCTTTTGCTGACAATTCCTGTGCAAATAAATTTTATTTAACAATCCATTGCGAAAGCATGCCTTAGCGACCTGGTGTGCACCTTGCCCGTGAATGAGTCTTCTACAGACTTAAGCAAGACAAGAAATAAGCAACACTCTCTAGTGAGCTGGCAAACTTTAGCCAACTTTACGTTGTTGTAGTGGGAGCACATGAGGTCAGACACGTGACAGGTTTTACAGGAAATTGGATATTCTGGTTAAAACTCTGACTGCTAACTAGACGTACTCAAGGCTGAAATCAACATAGTGGACGTATTCTGTTTCGTTTCAGTCGTGGTTTACTTGCTCTTCTAGACTCGCATAGTTGTAAAATATGGTGAACTCGGGGAGAAATAAATGAGGTCTTGTTTTGTTAAATGGTTCCAATGTCCTAACGTCGAGTTCAGTCGCGGGAACATAAACATGAATAGGTAATTTGTCACCTTGATTATGAAAAGTGTAAAACAGACTGAAAATTTCTGAACATCGTTTGCATTCATTTTTATGGATGAATTTACACTACTGTTTTTCGCACTGTTTAAGTATGTTAATTTCAAAGCACTTTACACAGGTTGTCTTTTCTTAAGCCTGTAAGCACTGAGAGCGAAAAATGTGTTCAAAAGGTTAATTTTTACTCCACAAATACAGAGCAGTGGATAAGCACCCAGGTTGGATATGGGAAAAAGTGAGTTTATCACCTACAACACAAGCTCAGATAAAACGTGTACAAGGTACTGAGCTTAAGGCGCTAGTTTACCTGCGCTGGCTAGGTCCGCTTTGTTCCTGAAATACTTGAGGATTTTCGGAAATGCTTATATTTTATCCCAAAGACTGCCTTTGAACTACAGGGAGTATCTAATGGGAAATTGTTAGATGTAATACTCTAGATTTGACTACTGTGAAAGATAAAAATTCTTCTGGAAGGAGGAACTGAATCAAAGTGTCTGAAATACATAAGCCACGCGGGGTTTTGGTCGAGGAGCAGGTCCGCACGTAACCACGTGATGTGAATTCTGGTTGGAAGATGCGTAGCATTATGTCCTGTCACAGTGCGAGTTAGTTACAATGCTTGTCAGTTTGTCGTGGCTGAAAGGTTTAATGTACGACTACTAGCCATAAGGTTGGGGAATCGGATCACGTTGGATATTCGTGAGATGCGCAATACTGATGGCGCTCATTAGGAACAAAATAACCGTACGGTGCTTCTTGACGTTTTGGCATTGATCAAATTCACTTACAAAACAAACCCTGGGTTAAGATAAAAAATATAGGTGACTGCATACAAATCCATAACAGCAGACGTCTAATCAGGATCAAACTTAGAATCTATGGTGTGAACTTTAAAGTTTTGCTGAGAAATTTTCAGGTTTTATTTTGCAAAGCTTTATTTGATTGTTGGGAACACTGATAAAACGAATAAAATAAACTGAATGAGCTCTCTTATAAAAAAGCTCTTGAAATTAACATATTCAAAATTTGGATCATCTTGAAATACTGCTTGTGTGAGCTCCCTTCAATTGGTATTCATACACTTTTGTGATTTAGACCCACTATGGCTAATAACCATATTGTATGCTCTAGTCAGCACTGTTGAGCGTTTGTCTACACCTGTGCTGGCCGTTTCATGTACGCAATGTTTATTTCCCTCTTTCTATCCCCTTCTACGCCCACTCTACACATTATGGAACCCTGACACTTCTGAATCCGGTGAAAAACCAGTAACGAGTTCATAACAATGGGGAGGAAGGAAGAGTAGAAGGGCGAGTGAACGAGCAACTAAACGGATGGACGAGCGAATGGATGCACAGATGGAGAAACATCTTCGCGGACAAGGCTATCTGAGGCTGAATGTGAATTAATTTCGTCTGCAAATGTGTGATCGGTTGGACACAGTAGTCTTCTGTGCTGGTTTCTATTTATTGCAATTTAATTACATTCTTAATCAAGCACATTTGTGGTGATTAGCTAAGAATCGGATGATCGCAGGCAAACGATCCTCAGTCCCGTGGAGAATTGTCACGATACAGAAAGCTGAATGTGATGGTGGTGGTGGCGGTGGTGGTGGTTTTGGAGCATCAACAACCACAGGGAGGAGGATGAGGAAGCAGAAGAGAATTGACGACTAGAAACGTTACAGGGTGGCTGGTGTGTTTGATGGCGTGTGTCCAGTGTTGAGTAGAAGAGAGAATGTAAAATGGTTTTATGCTATTTAGGCGAATGGTCATCCTCAAACACAGTGGGTAACTAAATAGATAGAAAGATAGCTGGATGGACAGATAGTCCTCAGAATCGCTCCCACAGGACTCAGGAGAAGAGCAGCTCATGTACTCCTCTCATATGCATGTGTGTATGCCTGATTCTGCTTACACCACACAGTTGTCTGTGTGTAGGCAAACGCGCGTAGACCTTTATTTTTATATTCGGATTAGCATAATTCCTACCCTATGTTCGATGTGCTCACGCCGTAACCTGTACCCATGTTGGTTTCATACCAGGGGATTGTCCACTCAGTAAGACAATAGAAATTGATCAGTAGCATAGCAATTACTCAGGACCGTTGCAGGCTGCTAGACGAGACAGTGTGTGTGAACGCTCCGGGGGGAATATAGCCTGCAAGTATTGCAGCATAACGTTTCGTTTTACGCCTACATAATAAGCATGTGCCTTGCCGATAGCACAGTTCCTTATTAAATAATTATGAGTCCCGGAGTGGATGACATTGGATGTCTCAGACGAGTAGGTCCACATGTGTACCGTGCTGCGTGAATGGCAGACTATGTAATGAGGGTTTGGAGGAGACAGCTGAAAGATGGTCGACATCAGGTTTGTACAATTCCTCAACATTGGATTGTGGAAGTTATTATTACCAGTGAGGGCAGACAGCTTAATTCGGCTATGATAATAATTCTTGAAAGTGTCAGTGTCCGCAAAGTAGTATCAAAAGCAAGTGAAAACTTCTTAAACGAAAGAAACTAAACAACATCGACGGATAAACTAATTTTCACTTGAGAGTCTATTTTTCTGGTTACCACGCCAACTGAAGTGCCGACAGCAGCATAAAAAAGTTTGGCCGATGACACTTTATTACCACTGATATACCAGTTCTCTACAAATAAGCCCTTCGCAGTTTTGCATTAGGATATTGGCATATCCTGGAAAGCAGTCACTGGTGTAGAGCAGTCAGTAAAACATTCCATTGTTCGTCCAGTATTTTGAAAAAAACCCACCACGGCTGGGTTATTTCAGATAGTTTTGAAAAGTGACCCTTATATGAGCTCTTTTATAAAACGTTGTCTCCTCCTGAACTTATTGGGAAAGCTTTCAAATAACATCAACTATTGGTGAAATTTAGCAAAAATTTGATAACTTTACGTTGCCTGTAGTAAGGGTTCATTGCGCACAAATGCTCTGAGCAAAAGCTGAATCTTGAAGGTAACCATGAAAGCCACGAAAGCTGTCCGCGGTAAATTGGTTCTAATGAGATTCCTTCATTTACTACATGCTGTGGTGTTTAGAGCTGCCCGAACCGTTGAAAAAATTTATGCACAGCTAAGTATAGACCTTCGGTGTTTTGAGGACAAACATTGACTTGAAAACGATACAAAAAATAGACAGAATACCGAATATCAAAGTCATCTGTGAGTAGTGTTGTATTAGCAAATATGTAACTGTTCTGTTAGTTTCACAATTAAAACAGAATTGCTTTTGAGGATTATGCTAGCAGGATGGGTCGCGAAGAAGCTTGTTGGTTTGTCACAGAACTATCCAGACTGCACTTCCGAAGCAGATTTGTCGTAAATAAATTTTCCGCAAGTTCTCGCTTACTTCTGGAGACTCAACTTCTCCAAACATTGTTATTCGGAATCCAACGAAGATCACAGACAGCATGCAGCGTCACCACATTTCCGCGTTCACCCAGACCACTGTCAGACAAATGACAGTGATGTTAATGTAGTTTGACCCAACTTTCGAACTGCCATGACTACTGTCCACACATTTGTCCAGCAGAAAGCCACGGAGACCCTATCGATAAAGGATAGCGTTTGCCCCTTGACACTGTAAGAACTTGCAAATGTCCTAACCGCAAATAACCGTGTGCATAAATCGCAGTGCATTTTCCCAAGTGTTTCAGGCCTGATAACACAGCAAAGGACATCACAGTCTGAGGATAGGTACAAAAGCGCTAAACTCCTAATAAATTCGTCTACTTATTTTTGTCTCTACATGGACTGCTGAGGACTCATCTCTAAACAACTCGTTTAATTTTTGATGGAAATTTCCAAATAAGATTGATAGATTAAATTCCGGGATAGCCATGTAATAATGAATTTTCTTGAGAAAACAGAATTTGCCCTCAAAAAGTACTTTCTGTATCCTTTTCAAATTGACTGCTAAAAGGCGGTGTGGTAATGAACGACACCTGTGGTACTTCCCTGCGCCTGCTTACGATGAGGCATGAAGAAGCAACTTCGCATATCATGTTCGAATATTTTGTAGAAAAAGTCTATTCATATGCTTCCATAGAGAGTTGTATTGAAATTCAGGCTGTATCAAAAATATACCAGCCTATCCGTTCTAGTGGTAACGGTGTGTCTAGTAATATCAATAGTAATATCAATAGTAATATCAATATTGTTGAAAGATTTAAACAGGATATTGCTGAGGACCTAGCGGTCTAGCGGCCCTCCAAATAGGGCCGGTGTTTGTATCTTTATTTTTCAGGACTTAATATCATGTAGCAACGAAGCATCAAAGGTTTTCGATTTGAAGTGTCCTGAATTGTCCGGTAATCAGTAGCACATAAATGATGAAAAAATAAACATGCTCGAAATGTTTGAGAACTTCATTTTTTACCATCTGTTGACAGCAATCAATAATATCCCACTGGCGTGAAAGCTACCATTGCAGTATGACGTCCAACATTTTAAAACGTCAGATAGTGACCATATCGTGCAATTTATGGGAACCACTACTTGACGTTGATGGTAGAACATTTGATGAGCGTTGCCGTCTTCTACCTTTTGGCTTTTGATGAAAACACTGGCTGAGAAGTCCCAATGGAGGCAACAAATCGAGTAAAGGAAAATCAAGTAAAAAATGGCAGCTTTTGCATATTCTATTCTTCGTCCTCGCCCTCTGAGAAGTGCAGCAGTTTTCTAAATTGGTTTGCGTTCGGAAGGACGATACGTGATATGAATTGTCGCTGTAAAGCCTGCTTGCGGATTTAGTCCTCAAAAAGGACTAAGACGATCGATTAACAAATGGCCGTTTTTACCTACTAGTGAACAGGTAAGCAATTCTTTCTGGAACGATGCTCACAAACCCTTCATGATTTGCAAACCACCGCATGCTTGATATATGGTCTAGCATTATTTAATAAATAACTTGTATGAAACCCTGAAGTGTCTCAATTCTGTTTGCGAAAACAAAACCCAAGATATCGTGCTGACGATATTTTCCACATCAGTCACAAAAACTAAAACAGTGGGAGACATGGAGTCACAGAGGACATTGTGAATAACAGGCATTGCTATTCTATAAATATTCTATTAAAAAGAATGTGAATAAGCATAGGAAAACGTGCATACTTAAGGGAAAAGCTGGATTCCGTTCATGCTATTCTAGCTGAGACCTAGGTAACGGCAGAATACCCGGAGAGATTTCACTGCAAAATATGATTTATTTTCGAAATTAAATTTTCCGGAAGAAATGTGTTTTGTGCGAATCAATTTAAAATCGGATTCCATGTCACGCTACTTCATTAATCTCCTTGTGCCGCTCAACTTCAGAACAGTTTCCAGATTTCCATGCACCATCTACAGCCAGCCAAAATGGTCGTGCGCGCGATCCGGTTTGTTCACGAGAAACGGCCATAAATTCATGGGCTCCGTGGGATACGTTGACACCAGTGCACTTGCTGATTGTAGCGATAGCAGTGCTCTTCTCACTTGCCTGTTACTGTTGTTATCACCAAAATCAGGAAGCATGCACCAACCACCGAAACATTAGTATACATATATCATGAACAACCCATAGGCCAGATAACAAACACGAACTTGGAAGCTACATTTTAACAAAACAGCAATTGTCACAAAATTCGCTGTCATCGGAAACGAAACGGTTTTGCTCCGAAATGTAACAAACTGTGGGTTCAAGCGCCCTTTCGTTCTACATTTCGACCGGACAGATTAATCATGTGCGACTGAACTCAATAAAGCGCTGCCAATGAGGGTACGCGCACGCAATCTCTAGCGCTTCGGTTTTGTCCTTGTAGGTGTGTATTACTCGTTTCCAACACCATTGAGAACGGCAATGTAGTACAGGCTCAGTGCATTCACATACCCAGCAAATCATTTTTCTGTCAAGTGTGACATGAGTGCATCGTCTTCGGGACAAAACTTGTGAGGCAGGGCAGTCAGCTCATCATAAATTTCCTACGACGACTCCGAAACTTAAGTTGCGTTTGTTTTCCCATCGAGTTTGGTCACGGATGCTTCCGAAGAGTAGATGAACCAATTAGCGCTGCGTCACGAAACACCTAAATTATGTTTCGTCAAAGTATTTTGAAATGGTGCTTGGAAACCTCGGTGTTAAAAATCTGGTAGGGTGAATGCACGAGGCCTTCACTCTCAATTACCTGGAATCCCAAATGGGACTTCTTCGGAAAGCATCCAGAGAAATGTAAACAGCACACAAGCAACCTTTAAGTAGAACATAAAGCTGCTACCTCCTGTATTCCAAGAAGGGCTGTGTCCCGGTCGTGAGATGTCCAAGTTCCTTTTGAAAACCTCACGAGTTATGTCCTATCAGGTAGCAATTACTTCAGGTAAGGCTGTATGCAACATATTCACTTAGGTATTTTGCTTGCTGTGGTCTTTTAACTCTTCTACTTAGTCATTAGAAGGCGGTGTGCTTAGATGAACGTGATGATGACGGAAACCATGTTGCCTGTAGTCATCACTTTGGTCATGAGAATTATATATATATATATATACATATATATATATATATGTATATATG